CCCAACCCATCCCACCCCCAGCTCCTGGGAATGCCCGCACCAGTGAAAACACTGACATGCTCTGTGCCACGTCTGTCACCGCAGTGTTTATTGAACGAATGGAACGGTTTGGACCTCATCAGGCATCCTGTGTCGGTGCAGGCATGCGAGGGGACAGGCAAGGTGTACCACACACCTCTGTGTGCACACACCTGTGCTCGTACGCAAGCACAGAGCTCAGAGCAGTGGTGATAAACCCTATGATAACATGGATTGTCCAGCAAGGTTTACACTGTTGGGTCCAGTCAGGGCAAGCAAAAGATTAAGAGGGAACCAAAAAAACCCAAAAAACATAATAGAAAAGTTGTTAATAGATCATCGTCAAAGAAGCATTTGATTTAGCCAGTTCCAAATTAGTACATGGCAAACCACTGTATAAAAAGCAAAAGATAACGCAATGATACAACAGCTATCAGAGTGGACTTAGTAATATATACACCGCACCCGGTGAAACGGAATATCTTTCATCTCTTCCCTGTGATCTCTGGCATAGTCCCAAAGATAATAATCCAGTAAAACTGCATTGATCTTTTCGCGCATATCCTGACCCTTCTTCTGATAGAGCTCCAGCAGGTGCTTACAAATCAATGCACAACACCAAATAGAACAGCCACGGATCTCCACCTCCTGCTTGTCCCCATATTGGAAAATCGTTCCTGCGGACACAAGAAACAGCAGTCCATTTATGTACAAGAGACAGAAGGCCAAAGATCGCCTGAATTTGCTCACTTTTTTCCCCTTCATATTTATTCTGTTCTAGGACTGCAGTTTCCATGTCTTAGACTACAACTGTTAACATACAGCTGTTAACAGTGTAAAAATACATTTTTAATGATTAATTTTACCATATGCATTTAGAAGTTTACCTCCCATTCAATGAAAACAACATCCTGTATTCTAACAATCTGCTCTAAGAAAAGAACAGGTTATCCTGCCTGACTGGTTTCCTTGCTTGGGGAGACAAAAAGCATAGTCTTTTAAAATACTACACTTTTTAGCATATATTTATTATATTTTATAGTACATTTTCTGCCAGGACAACTCTAGTTTAAGACTCTAAAATTAAAAACAAAGACCCTAAAAACATAAATGGGAAGAGAACCATTGGAATTACTTGAATGGGAATGCTCTCATTAGGATTCATGGAAAGACAAAATGTCTATCTGGTCTATTTAACACAGAGATGCACATACAGACATATACATACAGCTGGCCATTCTATTTAGATCCATGGATGATTGTATTCATCTGCTTATCTTACTATGTAATTTCGAAATTGTGTAATAGTAGTGATACCTCTAAACACAGTCATTTTACAGCAGAAAAGAGATGGGCTTATTTTTTTATTCACTAAAGTTCATAGTTAGTAAGTCCTGGAAGATGGAACCATGCTTAAAAAACAAGACTCTAAAGTATGCAATGAACTTCATTTAAAGCAATCTTTTTTAATGCACACTTACAATATTGCTCTGCTTGTTAACCAGCAGTTCAATACAAATAACTAGGAATTCCGATGCTTTTACATTATCTTTGAAGTAATGAAGAGATCATTGCTTCTTTTATCTAAAGATCAAAACTTACAACCCTCCTCATGCTGAAAAATGATTTCGGCAACAGCAGCCCTTCAGAAACTCAGAGATCAAGTAGCTTAGAGGTTCTTTAATCCCTTCCTTATCAATGTTTAATCCATGGAACAGTTAGGTTTCTATAAAAATGTAACCTTAAGATCTCATTTGAGATCATTGTTGGAGAAAAAAGTTCCCCCCGTTACTGTAAGAAGTCCTTGTTCCCTGGAGGAAAAAAGAATACACATAACCCTTACATGGACAAAACACCACATTTTAGAACTAGCTTTAGTCTACAATATCAAGAGGTAAGATTACTTGATATTAGTAAGGGCAGAACAAACCTTCGTGTAGTTTCTTCATTAATTCTTCAGAATACTTCATTGCTTTTAAGTGAACGAGAACCTGAGGAATTCTGTAGTCAGCAAATATTGTCAGACTAGAAATATCACTAAAACAGCCATCTCCTTTGCCTTCCAATACACTCCATGTATCAGCCACAAGTATTTGTGCCCGTTTGTAGAAAGATACCTTCTTTTTCTGAAGAAAGAAATTTACAGATTACTTAAGTGTCTGAAACATCAATAAATACAACAAATAATGTAGTTATCATGCAGTTAAGCCAGCACAATAGTTAACTAAAACAGGATAAAAGTACAATACCCTTAAACACGTTAAAATTTAAATAATATCAAGCCACAAACAAGGATTACGTTGCCTACTCATAAATAAACTGAAATAAAAGAATAACAGAAGTCACTGCAGTACAATAAAAATTGTTTCGAATCTGCTTGGATCTCAGAATACATTCGTGCTGGTTTCCTTCCAAGCCCTGTAGTTGAAAGTCTATCTTGCTAGGAAAAAAGGAGAGAGAAAAATTAGTTCCAGTGGAAGACATACTTACACATACGGTATTTTCCTAGATACTATGCGTGGTTCTATTTTTGCATAAAGTTTTTTTTCTGGTGCTGTACCTGTGAAGATTTACACTAATGATATGCTACAAGCTGTAGGCCATTGAGGTTTTCACTCTACGGTGAACACAATGTGTGAATGTAAATCTGCATCTTTAAGGAAAAGTGTATTAGTGGGTCACACTTTTTTCTCTCCCTTTATAGCTAGATGAGATATTCAGCTTTTGACAATGTGTGCTAAACAATATGTAATGGGAATGGTTAACCTGAATTATAATTAGTCCTATTCTGCCACCTTACTGCCATCACAGATTACAAATGGCACCTTTTTAAACTCATTTAATCTTACTTTGTTGCCAAGATGCTACAACTACTCCTGCCAACAAAGTATATGTTGTGCCATTAAATGCTACTCTCCAAAAACACTGAGAACACAAAGTGCAACTACACTTCCCTGAACAACTGCAAATATCCTAAATACTCCTTCTTTCCCTCATTCTGTATTTGACATAGATGCACAAACTTACTTCCAGAGAACATAAACAATTTTGTATGTTAAGCAACAACACACCACTTGAAACATCACAAGAGGAAGTAAATAATTAATAGACCAAATTTTATTCTAGCTCCTACTTCCCCAAAGCAAATGAAAACCAAGGGTGTCACTCTTTTATAGCACCATGGTTTTTCCAATATAGTGAAGAACTGATTGCCTTCAGCACCACAACATTTTGCAACAGCAGAGGAAGGGAGAATTACAGTGAACTTTTCATTTCATGCTGCAGTTCAATGTGGAAGAAAATTGCACAGATGAAGAAACCATACGAGGAGTGGCTGAGGTCACTTGGTCTGTTCAGCCTGGAGAAGAGGAGACTGAGGGGACACCTCATCACTGTATGCAACTTCCTCAAGAGGGGAAGCAGAGGAGCAGGTGCTGACCTCTTTTCTCTGGTGACCAGTGACAGAACCCAAAGGAATGGCCTGAAGTTGTATCAGTGGAGGTTTAGGTTGGATACCAAAGAGAGGTTCTTCACCCAGATGTGGGTTGGGCACTGGAAGAGGCTCCACAGAAAAGTGGTCATAGCACCAAGCCTGACAAAGTTCAAGAGGTGTTTGGACAATGCTCTCAGGTACGTGGTGTGATTCTCAGGGATGTCCTGTGCAGGGCCAGGAGTTGGACTTGATAATCCTTGTGGGTCCCTTCCACCTCCAAATATTCTGCGATTCTGTGATTTATAACATCATTGTTTCAATTATGCTGCACAAAGCTTATGAAGTTTATGCAAAAATCTCAATACAAAAAAGACTATCAAGCATTTCTAGTAAATTTCCCCACTCTTCAACAGTGTGCTGGTTTGGGCTGAAGTAGAGTTAACTTTGTTCACAGTGGCTAGTATGAGGCTATGTTTGGAATTTGTGCTGAACACAGGGTTGATAATGCAGAGATGTTTTTGTTATTGTTAAGCAGAGCTTACACAGAGCCAAGGCCTTTACTGCTTTCCATACTGCCACGCTGGCAAGGAAGTTGGGGGTGCATGGGAGACTGGGGGGAGACACAGCTGGGACAGGTGACCCAAACTG